CAACTGTAACCACACAAGCTGCTGTGAAAAGGGGAAGTAAAGCCAGTGGGGTGAGGACAGGCTGGGGTGAGAAGGGATCAGAAACTCAGGAACAAAGGAAAATTTCAGAAAAGCTTGAAGAAGCAAGTGGCCTAACGAGGAGGCGGAAAGGATCTCCGGGCTGGGGGCCCCCCAGCATAAGGTGAAGGAAGAACCCAGAAAGAGGAGGAAGCTGGAGGCACTCGCCTATGCACTGTGTAAACCTTTGTGGCTTTTAAATATATTCCCTTAGGGGACTTCAGGGGGACTAGTGTGTGCCCTCTGACCAGGCACAGACACCAGAGCCAGCCCCAGTCCCCGGATCATTCACCTGGACACATCCGATACCCCGCATCATGTGTCAGCTGTTCTTCTGACCCAGAAAACGGCATATCCCTTAGCAGCTGCTCATGACTCTTCATGAACTTGGCTCTTCTGTCGGCAGCGAATGGGTCTCTTTTTACCAATAGAGGCTCTGCTGGCTGCTGGAGCCGGTGTGGTTCAGCAGGGGAATCACGTTCACATTGACTGAGAGCTGCTATGTGCCAAGTATGTGCTTGGCACCTTAAGTTTTCTCTTTAATCCTCATAATACCCTTTTAAGTAAATATTATAATTCACTTTTTTTTTTTACAAATGAGAAAATTGAAACTTAAAGAAATTACATGGTTGCTTGAGTTCACATAACTAGTGAGGGGTGGTTCCAGGACTTGAACCTGGATGACAACTCCTGTGTCTTTATGTTCTTTCTGTTGCACGAGGCCAGCAGAGACAGGGGGAGAGGCCTCCACACCCTCCCCCTGCATCCATGGCAGACTCTGCTCATTGGTCCTGGTGCTGTTCCTCTCAAGCTAGGACTATGAATAAAGCACAGGCTACATAGCAAGAAGTAAGACTTATGACCCATGTTCTCAAGGAATTTTGCTTTGACATAGGTAAAAATATAATACAGTAGTAGACTTGCAATGTAAGGCTACAAAAAGCACCCCAGCCATGGGTGCTGAAAAGATTCTGGCAAGTTTATAACTCATAGGAAATATATCCACCTTCTTTTGTCTGAAAGCTGGCCTTTCCCACTTTTCGATTCCGCATTTCCCCCCCTCATTCCAGCTATTACTCATTTATTCAATCAATAAATATCTTCTCTGTATCTGAGAGTACAGCATGGAACAAGGCCAGGTTCCCACTCTCATGGAACTTCATTTCCAGTGGGGAGGTTAGACAGTAAGCAGGCGAGGGCACGCACTTGTGTATACATCAGCTGGTCATAAGTGTGAAGAGAGAGTAAAGCAGGGACGGTGGGCAGAGGGGGTGAGGGGCTACTTCATGTAGGGTTGTCCGGGAAAGGTCTTCTGAAAGGTGGCATTTGAGTTGAACCAAGAAGGGAGAGGGGGGAGCCAACAGGGTATGGCCAGGGCACTCAGGCAGAGGGAACAGAAAGAACAAAGGCCCCGCGCAGGAGTGGTACACTGTTTGTGGAATGGTAAAGAGGGCAGTGTGGCTGGAGTGCAGTAAGCCAGGGGGGAGTGTTAGAGCCGGAAAGCCCGGGGTCTGTAGTTGTAAGGATTTGGATTTTACTCTGAGGAATCTGGTACAGGCCCCTGGTATAAATACAGGTGCTTATTTAGTTCTCAAAACAGCCCTAAGAGGCATTCACAATTATAATTGCCCCTATTTTATAGATAAAGAAACAGGCATAGAGAGGTTAAGTAACCTGCCCAAAGTTACATAGCTAGTAAGTAGCAGGTGGGCCTGAATACAAGCAGTTTGACTCCAGAGTTTATACTTTGAACTCGATATTATGCTGCTTTTCTTGATTATGAAAACAAAGACAGAAAGAAGCTCTGCCTTAATGGGTAGCCCTTTGGACATGACTTGGCAGCCCAGCTACCAGCCTTTATCCCAAACTCCGGTGCATGGTGAAAGAATTGGGAGACCACTCCTTCAAAGAATCTGACTTTTTAATTTTGAGGCACATGCTCAGGATGTATCCAGCAAATTTAGAAAGCAGCAGCAAAACGTGTTTGGGCACAGAGGCCCATGGGGCATCGCCTGCGATTTCAGTGAGTTGGGAAGCAGTGGTTAGTAGGTGTCACAGCTCTGAGCACCCAGGACAGCTCTCCTCTGCCGAGAGTTTGGGCTCCTAGGGGAGGCTGAGAGTCCCTGACTTGGCTCTTGATGGAGATTCAGAATCCTTTCCCATCTACCCCCTCTCTGGTCCTCAATTTTTCCATTTGAAAAATGAGGGAGATCAACTAGATTGTCTCCAAGAGTTCTTCATGGGTAAAAAAATTCTGATTCTAGGTTTAATGAAATGGAGAAAATATTCATGCCATATTATTTTGTGTGGGGAGGAATCCTTTACATTATGTTTGAGTTTTGCAATTTTTGTTAAAAAAATACAGGAAGCAGAATGAAGGTATTTGTCCACTTTACCCCTTCGTGCTCACGCTTTCCCCTCTGCTACTGGGAGAGGGCCTTTTAGCAGAATAATTCACTAGGATTCTTTGTCAGGGAGGGGATCTATTCTAAGGGACTGGAATACAGCCTCCTGGAATGGAGCCTGGGGTCCTCCAGGAGATGCGACCCCACTGGGCAAAGGGTTCTCAGCAGCTTCAACCAAAAAAGGTAGAACAGGGACCCAGAGGGGAGGGGAGAGGGACAGGAGAGGATGGGAGACCATTCAAGATAGACCGCGTGTGAACTGCAATGCAATCCATGAGAGCAAGAAAAGAGTATTTAGAAGCATCCCCAGCACTTCTATGTGCTCATGATCTGTATGGAGAAACACAGAGTTCTGCTCATGGTCTGTGCCCTTCCAGATCTCAAGGACATGACAACCCAGCCCATGAACATTTTAAAAAGATGGCCACTGCATAACCCTGTTTATCTCAGCCTGGTTGGGTTCTTCTGGTTGACCTTTTTCTGCATTGTGCCTTTTATACTTTCTAAAATTCCTACGCTAGGCGTGTATTGCTTACATAATAAAAATTGTGTTTAAGAATATTAAGATCTTATGAAATGTCTCTAATACCTTAATATCATATTTGGCATAAACAAATGCTGGATGGTCCATAGGGGAGGATTTGGCTCCCTGCAAATCTGAAATGGCTGGACTGCTTTATTGTGGCAGGGGCTGCTGATTCCCAAATGTTGAAAGGATTTCTGTGCTCTAGAAATTCTCTGAACTGTGGGTCTCTTATTTCTGGCCAGAGGATACTCCCTCAGGGGGTGATTTTGCACAAACTGGCGAGATGCTGTTCAGAAGCTCTATCCATGAGCTGGGGAAAGGTAGCTGCTGGCATGAGAATCATGAACCTCGCAACTGAAATAGTTTAGTGCTCTGTGAACCAGAATTAACATGGCAATAGAAAGGACCGATCCTAAATCGATGGATGTGCAGGAAATGGGGTGTACCTAGGAGGTTCCACATTTCTGGATGGCTGAGGTTTATTCAGATTGTTTTTGTTGTCTGAGCCCATATTTTAGAAAATCAGTCTAAAGCATATCTGCCTGATTTTTAGCCTTGTTGAACTCTAAATAGTGAATTCAATGGATTTCTCCTTCCAGTAGTGTCTTGCAAGCTATGGGGCCACATTACAGGTCTCTCTCTCTCTTTCTGGTTTGGAACTAAGGAAGAGCTACTGACTGGGCATCTCTGGGCCTCAGGTTTTACATGTGAAAAGGAGACATTCAATTCAATTTCAAAAGTGCCTTCAGCCTCTGAGATCCCAGAGCAGAGGTTTGTTGAAGGACACCCGAGCGTGGGCATTAGGAATTGTGTCATTTGATGGGTGAGTCAGACTAGGGCGTCAGGAAAATAATGTCTTCACAATCAACACAAGGGTACAGGCAATTAAGAAATACATCTAGCTGACGGCTTAAGTGTCTGTTCCATTCGGAGGATATATTCCTGAAGAGGGACAGGGTGACTCATCTGCCGGCTGTCACCTAAGGAACTAGAGCTATCCAATTTCTTTGCTTTAATTCCAGGCAACTGAAAGATCTTAATTTGAGTTTCCAAGGCTCTTTCCCTAGGCGAGAGGAGGGCAGGCTATGGCAATTGAAAATTGACGTTCTTTTGTGGGAGCAAAATTAGATCACATTTGAGAAAAGGCTGTAAAATTATATGAAGTAACATTCAATGTGAGGGGATATCATTCTTGGTTACTTTTGAATCACTGTCATGCTGATTTGCTGAGTAGTCTCTGAGCCATTTTTTTGGGCTAGTAAACCCTGGGTGTCTTGGTAGATATGGCAATTCTGGATCTGCAAGGCTGATCCAAGGGGAAAATCACAAACATTTACATGGTACTTTACAATTTTCAAAGTGCTTTCGCAGACAGCATCCTGGTAACTCTGGGAGAGGGGACACAATATTCTTCCAGTTCAGGAAGGCTCAGTATTACAGAGCTAGAAAGGGTTTGGGCTGGCCATCTAACCCAGGTCCAAATCACAGTGCTGCTGCTTCTGAAGGGGGTGAGTGCTGTTCTCCTAGCCACACCCCACCCCCACACCAGACTCACACATACTACCCATGACCACTGGGACAACTGGAGCAGGGATGAAAGCAGAAGGCAGAGAGGAGAGCCAAAGGCCAATCTTTTCGGGAGATCACAGAACTGCTGCTCTTTCCCCCTTCAAATGCTGCTCAGAGTGCACAGGGCCTTTCCAGATGGCGGCCCGGGGGCTGGCTTGTTCAGCTTCCCTCAGCCTGACACAGATGAACCTGCTTGCTGCAGGGGTAGAAAGTACCCATTCTTTTCACATGGAATCTCAAGGGTGTTGGGCACCTATCTTTCCTTCCCCAAAAGTTTGGTCTGGATGTTGCTGCTGAGGGTGGCCAGGGACCCCCAACTGGAATGGTCTTCCCAGAGCAGCACTACTTGACCTAACCCTCCTGGGACTCCTGGCATCTCAGCTGCTGGCCCTGCCAGTCTCCGATTACCGGAGGGGAGGGATCTCAGGACCTGGGGCTCTCTGTGCAACACAAACCTGAACTCTCCATCGGCTGCCGAGACTGCCCCAGAGTGGGATCTTTGTGCCCAGACCCTTCCCATTCAGGGAAGGAAGTGGAAGACCCACTGCCTGGCTGGGAATTTATAGAGGCTCAGAAAAAAGATGAACTGGCCCCATTCCTGCATCTCCTTTTGTTGGATTTACTTTGCTGCTTCCAGACTGAGAGGTAGGAGACTGGTGGGTGGGTAACCATCTCTGCTCACCGGGGCCACTTCTTCGGTGGGAGGTGGGGTGGGCCAGGAAACAGAACCAGTGGTCTAACTGCAGGGAAGTGTCCTGTGCTTCTTACTGACTCACACTGATCCCGGTAGGGCATGGTAGAAAAAACTCACCACCAAAGCTTGGCCCCAGCTGATGCTGGGTCCTCCCCAGTTCCAGTCCTCAGTCTGTTGTTCTTTGCCTTGAAATACACACGACACTGAATATTGATCCAGGTCCCTCTTTTTGAGCAGTTGTAGAAACAGCAGATGGGAAATATGCCCAGAAGTTGTTTAATGACCTTTTTGAGGATTATTCCAACGCTCTTCGTCCAGTAGAAGATACAGATAAGGTCCTGAATGTCACACTGCAGATCACACTGTCTCAGATTAAGGACATGGTGAGTACACAAAGCAGGAACTCCTTGGCATGTTGCTTAAATGAAACTAAGAGTGCTTTCCAAAGGGATGTTTTAACTGGGAATCTGAGAGGGAATGAGAACAGACAGCTCTGTGTGCGAGCTGGTGAGAGAAGGGGACACCAGGCGAAGGAAGCATTCTACGAAATTAATTTCACTGAATGTTACCTATCCTGGCCATTGACAGTAACAGTCTTAGATCATCTAAAGAAAGATGGTGTTACATATGGTATGATTTCATTTCTATGAAATGTCCAAAATAGGCAAAACCATAGAGACAGAAAGCAGAGTATCTGTTGCCAGGGGCTGTGGAAAGGACAGGGAAACAGGGAGTGGTTGCTTGATGGGCTTAGGGTTTCTTTTTAGGGGTGATAAAATGTTCTGGAATTAGTCATGATGGTTGTACAACATTGCGAATGTACTGGAAGCCACTGAAGGGTTAAAATGTAAATCCCCTTTAAAATGGTTAAAATGGTGAGTTTTATGTTATGTGAATTTTATTTCAATTAAAAAAACAAAGGTGGTGTTTTAAGATGACATACTTTATTTAGTGCTTATATGTGTTTAATTACATAAAATTATGAACCTCAAAAGACTTTTCTTCTGTCTATTATAAATATTTCCTGACTTTCTCATTCAAATGAATCACTAGCTGATCACTTTTGGAGAAATTTGGGCAGTTGATTACATGCAAAGATCTGATGACTTAAATATTTGTCCACTTTACATTCTGAACACTAAATGAAGCAGGAAAAAATATAATCTTGTCAGTCAATCGAGGGGGTAGACTGAGAAATCTCTCACTTATAGAAAATAGATTAGTGCTCTTGGAATTTCCGTGTGACGGACAAGTGTTCTAGAGACAGAAGGCATTCAGCTGGGGTGTCCACTGAACAAAATTATCTGGGTTAATTGTGCAGGATGAAAGGAACCAAATTCTGACCGCCTATTTATGGATCCGCCAAATCTGGCATGATGCGTATCTCACGTGGGACCGAAACCAGTACGACGGGCTGGACTCCATCAGGATCCCCAGCGACCTGGTGTGGAGGCCGGACATCGTCCTGTATAACAAGTCAGTAGTGTCTCAGGAATGAGCTTGTTGATTTAACAGGATTTAAACAAAACAAAAAAGGAATATTTAAAACACGTGTAAGTCAAGTATCCATTCCTAGGCCTTAAAATGATGGTCATAAAATCTTAGATGATAAAATAATAACTCATAAAAGCTTAGAGCTACTTTCCCCCTTTTAGGTAAGAACTGTACAGGGGCTGTATTGGTTTTCTAGGGCTACTGTAACAAAATACCCCAAACTGGGGGCTTAAACAACAGAAAGGTGTTAGCTCACAGTTCCCGAGGCTAGAAGTGCAGGCTCTATCAGCTCTCTTCTCTTGTCCCCACCTTCGCCCCCTGCCGTCCGCCTCCATCCTTTCTTTCCCCTCATGCTTACGCTAGCAACGCGATGTGTGTCAAACCACCGCACCCCCCACCTTCTCTAAACTCCACTTCTCTTGGATTCTTGGCATCTTCTGGCCAGTCTCAAAGTCACTCCAACCCAGCGATTTTCAGCCGGTGTGATGCAAGAATCTTTAAAACATGCAATATCTACCTGGCAGGGCGTGGCTCAGCGGTTGAGCGTCGACCTAGGATCCAGGCAATCGGGGTTCGATTCCCTGTCAGGGCACATGCCTGGGTTGCAGGCTCTCTCATCATTGATGTTTCTCTCTCTCTCTCTCCCTCTCCTTTCCTCTCTCTGAAATCAATAAAGATATATATATATATATAAAATAATAATAAAAATAAAACATGCAATACCTGACTATTTAGTCAGGGGCACTGACCTCTTTTCCCCTAGACTGTCAAATTTAAAAATGACAACAGCCAACATAATAGCTGTCTGGTGTGAATGAATCAAAATTATACTTTTTTTGGGTCAGACTGGCAAAAATATATATTTTGGTGTGCTGCAGAACTTTAGGATTCATTTGTGTATTCCATGGGATAAAAAGGTTGAAAATCACTGGCCTAGATGATTGAGAGGACAGCGAAACTTTTGGATGGGATTGAAAATGAAGGAGAAAGAGGAACAAGTTTGGAAAAAGAGGTGATGAGTTTGGTGGGGGACTTTTTCCGTTGGGGGAACAAAGGGACATCCACATGGAAATGACCAATACAGAATTGCAAAGGCAAGTCTTAAACCTGGAAAGAAGGTCAGGGGTAGAGATGTCAGAAACTCTTTGGCCCCTTACAAAAAAGGGGTAGAAGGACTGAGAGAGCTGTGTCATAGAGACCAGGGGAGAAAGGATGTCTAGGGAGCAGCCAAGTGGAGAATGCGCGGGAAGAGTTGAGCAGGACAGAGACTTAGAAGAGCTCTTTGGATTTGCCTCTTAGCAAGTCATGAATGACCTCTGAAGGGGAACACGCTGGGAAGAAGCCAGAGTGGGAGAATGCGAGCGAGATGGGGAAGTTACAGCAGCGGGCATCAGCTACTCTTGAGAGCAGGCTGTGGAAAGAGAGGAGATTGGGGAGGTTCCTGGGAGGAAGGGAGGTGATAGTAGAGGCTTGGGAGCAAAGCTGGGAAGGGACTGGAGGGACCAGAGAGGCTAAGAGAGATGGAGGGAGAGGCGAAACCCTGCGGAGACTTGGGGGGAAAGGAATCACAGTACTCAAGGGAAGTTTGCCCTGGAAGGAAAGGGGATTTGCTTATAACATGGAAGAGAGGAAAGGGGGACACTTGAAAGCCAGAGGCACTGGAGCTGGAAAGGGGGATGGATTGCGGGGCTGAGTAAACAGACAAGTCTGCGCCGAGGGGCCGGGCACTCTGGCGACTGAAAGGCCGGCGGCCCTCGCCGTCCTCTCCTGCACCGGCCCACTCCTCCAGTTCTGGGCTGGGACTCTCCCAGCCCCCACCCAAAGGCCTGTGTGCCCAGGCGCCAGGTGGCTGCGCCCAGCTCAGCCTTTGAGCAGCTGCAGAAGGGGAGGAGGGGCTGCGAAGGGCACTGAGTGGCCCGGGAAAGGGAAGAAAAGGGGGAAACCAGCGAAATGTTCTCCTAGGGTCATACTCTTCTCTCAACCCCCATTTTGAAATTTTGTCCCTGTGATTTTTTACGTTCTAGTTGAGACCATGGGGCCCAGTTGGAAACAGAGGGAAGGGGGAGAGAAGGTAACACACGTTGGACGCTTACTATGTGTCAGGCAGAGTCGGGGCCTGACCAAGCGTGGTAGACGGAGTAACAGCCCCGAAGTGTCCACATCCTACTCCCTGACACCTGTGAATATGTTACCTTACGTGGCAAAAGGGACTTTGCAGATGTGATGAAATTAAGGATGTGAGATGAGATTACCCCGAGGCGCCCCATGTAAACCCAAGTCCTTACAGATGAGGGACAGGAGGGTCCGAGCTGGAGATGCCGGAGGGAAGCAGGGGCAGAATGACAGGAGCAAGGAGCCCTGCCCCAGGGAGTGCAGGCCGCCTCGCAAGTGGGCCATCCTTCAGGGCCCCAGAGGAAGGCAGCCTTGTCTACATCATGATTTTAGGATTTCTGACCCCTAGAACTATACAGATGTTAAATTTGTATTGTTTAAAGACACTAGGTTTGTGGAAAGTTGTTACAATAGCAATAAGAAATTAATACATATAGTTATTTACTTAAATAAAATTTAAAAAGAATAAAAAATAAAATAATAAAAAATAAATTTAATAAATAAAAAGAAAAAATAACTTTAAGGTATTACAATGCCTCCTTTTACAGGTGAGTGATAGAACTGTAACTTGCTCGAGGTCATAAAACCTGAACCAGGTTTTGAACCAAAATCCCTCTGTGATCTATGACATCACAGCCCTTTCTGAAGGAGAATGAGCCCTAATTATTCAACCAACCCGTTTACCTACTTACTTACCTTTCTTTGTTAAGTCTTTCTTTGGGTCAAGGCATTCTGTAGTTTGTTGAGGAATAAATTAGGATGTTAAAACTCAGTCTCTGGCCTCAAGGAACACTCTAATAAGGAATGTATGTAAAAAATGGTAATACAGGGTAAAAAATGTAAATTCCTTATGACATAGAAATAAAGTTACATGGCCCTTCAAAGATGGACATTTCATCTACTGGAGAGTCAGGGAAGGCTTGTCATAGGAGGTGGGTCTTTTTTAAAATTTACTTTTATTTATTTTAAAATTTTATTACAGTTGACATGCAATCATGTTTTAGGAGGTGAGTCTTGAAATATGTATTAAAATTGTACATGCAGCCCGGCCGGGCGTCGCTCGGCGGCTGAGCATCGACCTAGGATCCAGGAGATCAGGGTTCGATTCCCGGTCAGGGCACATGCCCGGGTTGTGGGCTAGGCAGCCAATCAATGACTCTCTCATCATTGATGTTTCTTTCTCTCTCTCCCCTTCCTTTCCTCTCTCTGAAATCAATAAAGATATTTAAAAAAAAAAAAGAATTGTACATGCAGAATATTACAGATAGAAGAAAGAGTGAGGGAAAGAGGGAAACTCACAGGGTGTGCTAGGATTTCAGCCTTGGTTGTTGGAGTGTGGGTGAAGGAGACTGTGGGAGACACCAGGCTGGAAAGTGGGATGGGAGTAGATCATGGAACATCTGGGACACTAAACTCAGGAGGCTTGGGAGTATCTGGTGGACAATAGGAAGCCATTGCAAGTTTTGAGCTACCAAATACTATGATCAGAGAAACCAGGGAGATAAAACAATAAGATATTGCTCATGAAGTGAATACATAAGAATGTCTTTAACTGCCCCTGAGATGGTGGGCTCCTTTGCCCTCTGGCTTCTGGTTGGGTTTGGTGAATGGGGAGCACCAAAGGGCAATTAATGGGAGAAAAGAAAGTGAGGTCAGGGTATACATTCCCTTGCTCCCTTCCTATAGAGTTATCTTTGGCTGGCTGTCCCTGGACAGGTCGTAGCTCCTATTATAGCTTGATCAACAGTCCATCACTGCAATGATGGTGGAGAGTTATTCCCTAAAGGAAAATAAAACTTTGGCGTCCCAAAATGCCAGGCGTAAATGTTAACAAAGCAAAAAGAAAATTTATCCAGAATAAATTCTCTCTTAAATTATGGATGAATGAATTTTTTTCTTGTTTTCCAAATGTTCTACAATAAACATGTACAACTCTTCCAACAGCAACTAAGTTACCTTAATATTCTTGTGCCCAAAGTTAACAAAATCAGGTAAGCAGAGCCTCCCTTTCAGATTTTAGCTTTAACAGGTTTACTTTTTGTCTGGATTTATAAATCCTTATACCTGGACCAAGAGAGTGGCATTGGGAATAGAGAAGAAGGGACATAGAGCAGAGATGTTTTAAAAGAAGGATCCAAGATAACTTGCACCTCACTAGTCACAGGAGACAGAGGAGAAAAGAAAATTAGAGTTGACGCCAGATTTTCAAACCAAGGTGATATGAGAATGGTGACCCATTGCCCAAGACATCGAAGTGATGGGCACAGGGTGATGAGCTGTCTGGAGCAGGAAGTTGGTGAGTTCTTCCAACAAGCTGCTTTCATTTTCCTCCTCTAACCTCCAGGGCTGACGACGAATCTTCCGAGCCCGTGAACACCAATGTGGTCCTGCGGTATGATGGGCTGATCACATGGGATGCACCGGCCATCACCAAAAGCTCATGTGTGGTGGATGTCACCTACTTTCCCTTTGACAACCAGCAGTGCAACCTGACCTTCGGCTCCTGGACCTACAATGGCAACCAGGTGGACATATTCAACGCCCTGGACAGCGGAGACCTCTCCGACTTCATTGAAGATGTGGAGTGGGAGGTCCACGGCATGCCTGCTGTGAAGAACGTGATCTCCTACGGCTGCTGCTCTGAGCCCTACCCCGACGTGACATTCACGCTCCTCCTGAAGAGGAGGTCCTCCTTCTACATCGTCAACCTCCTCATTCCCTGCGTCCTCATATCTTTTCTGGCTCCCCTGAGTTTTTACCTTCCTGCAGCCTCTGGGGAAAAGGTCTCCCTGGGAGTGACCATCCTGTTGGCCATGACAGTATTTCAGCTCATGGTGGCAGAGATCATGCCGGCCTCAGAAAATGTCCCTCTGATAGGTGAGTGTCTGACACTTTGAGCCTAATTTTGTAGTGACTGCGGTTATATCTGTGCCTTTAAACTTATAACAATCAGTCCAGCTTCACACTCGACACAGGCTGTCAGATATTTCATTTAGTGTCTTCAGTTGGCACACCTCTGAATACAGATGTGGCTATTGGAAACAAAACTGGTCTTGTGGCCTCCAGATTGACCCAAAAGAAGAGTGAGGGGCAATATAGTTTAGAGCAGTGGTTCTCAAAGTGTGGTCCCTAGATCCACAGCATCAGCACCGTTTTAGAAAAGCAAATTCTCAGGGCCCACCCTAGATCTACCGAATTAGAAACTCTGGGGGTGAGGGCTGGCATCTGTTGGAACAAGTCCTCAGCACTGTCACCTCAGTTAAGCCTTGCCATATTCCTATTAGTTAGATGCTACTATTACACTCATTTTGCAAAGAAAGAAGCTGAGGTTTAGCAGGATTATATAACTCTGTTTCAGGCCACAAGTTGAGTGAGTGACAGAGCTGGGATTTGAACCCAGGACATTTGGTTCAAAAGTCTCTATTAGCCCTGGTTGGTGTGGCTCAGTTAGTGGTGCGTCATCGCATGCACCAAAGGGTTGCTTGTTCGATCCCAGGTCAGGGCACATGCCTGGGTTGTGGGGCTCAGTCCCCAGTGGTAGTCCTGTAGGAGGCAGCCGACCGATGTTTCACTTTCGCATTGATGTTTATCTCTCTTTCTTCCTCTCCTCTCCTCTCTAAAAAAAAAAAGTCTATACTAGTACCCACTAGTGTATATAGCTTCCTTAGAAAAAGTGTTTGTGTTTTGAGCCAAACATGGGGACGGTTTTAAGCTGACTTGGTTGTTGGTCTTTTTCAGGCAAATACTACATAGCCACGATGGCCTTGATCACAGCCTCCACTGCCCTGACCATTATGGTGATGAATATCCACTTCTGTGGGGCCGAGGCCCGGCCAGTGCCACACTGGGCCAGGGTGGTTATCCTGAAATACATGTCCAGGATCCTATTCGTCTACGACGTGGGCGAGAACTGCCTCAGCCCCCGCCGCGACAGGGAGCGGGGCCACCTCACGAAGGTTTATGGCAAACTTCCAGAGCCTAATCTGAAAGCAGCACGGAACAAAGACCTTCCCAGAAAGAAGGAAACGAACAGACTCTTGAAGAATGACCTGAGGTACCAGGGTGAGAACCTGCAGGATGCCGACAGCTACTGTGCACGGTACAAAGTGCTGACGAGGAATATCGAATACATTGCCAAGTGCCTCAAAGACCACAAGGCCACCAACTCCAAGGGGACTGAATGGAAGAAGGTTGCAAAAGTCATAGACCGATTCTTCATGTGGATTTTTTTCATTATGGTGTTTGTGATGACTGTTTTGATCATAGCAAGAGCAGATTAGTGGGCGTTTGGTATGTGGGAATAAATTAATAGAATTTTCTGTGATCTATGTTAATAATTCTTCCAAGTCATATATAATACATATATACACAAATACACACATACACACACACATATATATATATATAATTTATAATTTAGGTATTATGTTGTCTTTACTTTTTATTTTTAACTTGAAATCAATATTATAGGTACTGCCTTAGCTGGTTTGGGTTGGTGCTTACAGCATCGGCCGGTGGACTGAAGGGTCTTGAGTTCAATTCTGGTCAAGGGCATGTACCTCGAGGTCCAAAATCACAAGGGTAGGATTATGACAGAAACAGAGGACTCATACGGCCTGCCCTAGTGTTAAGTGGCTGGCTTCTAGACCACACAATGACTCTCCCGTTTAGCCATGCAAATAACAAAGCAAACTACGTTATTGTTCAAAAGTTAAAACAAAATGAACTAATTCTCCCCTTAGTTCCTATTAAAACATGCTTTTAAAAAAAGGAAAATAGTCACCTTGGCCAGTGTGGCTCAGTTGGTTGGGCATCATCAGGTTCCAAAGTTTGCCGGTTCCATTCGGGTCAGGGCACGTGCCTGGGTTGTGGGCTCGATCCCTGGTAGGGGGCGTGCAGGAGGCAGCTGATTCATGTTNCGGGCTCGATCCCTGGTAGGGGGCATGCAGGAGGCAGCTGATTCATGTTTCACTCTCACATTGATGTTCTTCTCTCTCCCTCTCCTTTCCTTTCTCTCTCTAAAAAAAAAAGAGAAGAAAAATCTTCAATAAAAAATATTAAAAAGAAAATAGTCACATATTCCTTGCTGTGCTTTAAGTCTTGATGTTACCTTTTTCAGGCATGGTGCATTTCAAGCTGTATCTCAAGTAATGGAACACAAAGAAAGTCTATGGATCAGCAACTATGGGGAAGAGAGCTTTCTTTGTAATGATGATATCATATATGTTGGTGATGTTTTACATAAACTGTAAAGATGAAGTTATTCCTCCATTTGGTCTTTGATTGTCAGTGAACTGGGCTCATTCATTTATTCAATTATTTACCAAACATTTATTGAGTTTCTCCTACATGTAAAAAAGCTACATGATTCACATGTGCATTGGATGTTATAGCAAATCTCATGCATAAGGCATCTGATCCCTTTTGACCTGCACAGCATTCTGTGAGTTAGGCAGGCAGGTCTTTCTAGACCTCTTTCCCAGAGGAAGAAACTGTGTCAGAGGAAGGTGGACATATGTAACCTACCTCCTCAGCATCCAACTAGGTGGTGAGTGGAGCTGGGATTCAAACCTTCAGGATGGTGACTTTGAGTTCGGGCCAGGTCTGCTAAAGCCACATTGCTCTTAGCCATGGCAGATCATGATTTAGGATAGGAGAGACTGAGGGATTCTCATTCTGAATTCTGAATTTCTGCCCTAAATTACTTCTTATGCTTCTCAACTTTTTTCCTACTTTCAATAAAATGTGTTTTCAAATTTCCCCCCAACACCCACTTGATTAAAATGATCCAATTGCTAATACCCACTTCCTAATTTCCAACTCAACTCTTCTTTTACCAATTAAAAGCAAACAGAGGAACAGAAGTGGAGAGAAGTCAGGGGTTATCCCAGGAAAGAGAGGATGGTATTTGGTTTAAACATGTAGACACTGTTTGTTATTCTTGTGTTTACTTATTTGAAAAACATTTATTGTACATCTACTATATACTGAGTGCTATGTCAGCCTTGGAGGGAACAAGTACAAAACATGGTTTTAACCCTCCAGTTGCTTGCAGTTCATTAGAGAAGTTCATGTTGCTTGCAGTTCATTAAAGAAGGCAGTCAAGAAAATAGGCAAATACAATACAGTGTAAAAAGTGCTATCGTGGAAGCATGGGCAAAATAGAAAGCTGGGGAAAGACTTTGTGGGGTTATAACATTTGAGCTGGGCTTTGCAGGATGAGTAGGAGTTTGCTATACAGAGAAAGAAGTGGGGTAGGCATTAAAAGGCATTAAGGAAAAGAGCGTGAGCAGAGCTTTGACGAACAGAGGCCTTAGTCTATTCATGGAATAGACTATAAGGAATTGGGAAAATGTAACTTGGAATCAGTTTTTCTTCTCTATTTTAATTACAGAAGTACTTTTATCGGTTCAGTTGCATTTGGCTGCAAATAACAGAAAACCGACTGGACCATGACTTAAACAGCAGAGATTATTCATCTACACAAAAATAAATCCGCAGTTACAAAGTCCAGGGATCTTTCCATTTTTCCTTTGTATTGTTTTAAGTCATTACATTTGTGGTAATTTGTTACAACAGCAATAGAAAGCTAATATAGGTCAATGAGCAACTCTGTGTATATAACCTTTTCCATATTTTAGATTATTTATTTGGAATAGATTTGACTATAGCCAGATTGAAGTGATTCTATTGAGCCATGCTAAAAAAAATAATGAACTTTATCCTGAAAACATTGGGAGTGGGAGAATCAGATTTGTGTTTCAGAAATAAGACTGTGGTGGTTGACTATGAGATTGTAGAGAGAAGATAGAAGAGGCAGAGAGATCTGTTGGAATGTTTTTTTGTTTGTTTGTTTTGCATTTTTTTAACCAATTCAAGGAAGAGTTAATGAAAGCTTGACCCAAAATGGTAGGAATAAGAAAATGAGTCACAGCAGAGATGAAGAATAAAGGAAGACCAGGTTCTGGAGGAAAGAATTCTGTTGAGGACACCTTGAAACGGAAATGCTTATGGGACATCCTGGTGGAGATCTAGTAAGCAGCTGAACATACATTTGGAACTTTGGAAAAAAGTGAAAGCTTAAAAAAAAGATGTACACTCAATTTAATTGTTAAAGCCTGGCCAGCATGACTCAGTGGTTGAGCATCGACCTATGATCTAAGAGGTCACAGTTTGATTCTCTGTCAGGGCACATGCCTGGGTTGCAGGCTCGATCCCCAGTAGGGGGCGTGCAGGAGGCAGCCGATCAATGAGTCTTATCACTGATGTTTCTGTTTCTCTCTTTCCTTTCTCTGAAATCAATAAAAACATATTTTTAAAAATTTTAATTGTTAAAGTGATTTCAGTGGGTAGAACACAGTGTTATACAAACTGTGAAAGAGTGAAATGAATGGAAACACATACTTTGCCAGAATTCCGGAGCTCAGAAACATCATGCGTCATCAAAGCATTTACCTTGTTAAGCTGTCGTTTCTCCTTTCACATATCTGCTCCCCCAAGTCTATTCAGTTCCTCTCCAGGCCTAGGCCCAGAAGCTCTGTCATTCTTCTTCTTACCCTTTGTGATAAGGACATTCTCTTTTTATCCTTTGTGTGCATTAAAGGGCATAGCAGACCGTCATTAGTAATTAAACAATCGCAGAATGGATGAGTGAGCGAAAGGAAGAGCTGTAGGAGGGACCAGCAAAATGCCAGAGAGGTGCAGACTGTGACAGGGTGCCCATCCTATGCAATGTATAAAAATAAATACCAGGTGGGTTAAAGAGTTAGATGTAAAGACAAAAAGCTTATAAGAAAATATAGGAGGTTTTCTCAATAAAATTCACCTCAATAAATTTTAAGATGTGGCTGCTATGAAAGAGGAGCCTAGGGCCTGCTGGAGGGGAGTAACAAAGCGGGACGGGCTTGGATTGGGCAGTTGGCCTGCTGAGGAAGTGGTGCTAATATGAGATCTGAGGGGGAGGAGTTGCCATTATACGAGCTGGGAAAGTGCCAGGTTGCAGGCAATGGAAAGGACAGAGTTCAAGCTTAGAGGCAGAGCAGAGCTTGTTATTATTTGAGAAAGAGAAAGGAGGCCAGAGAGACAGAGGGGCACGATGGAATCAGTGACCCGAAGAGATAGAAGAACAAGGGCCAGGTCAGGCAGGGCCTTGCAAAGTTTAAAAGCACCAATGACTCCATTTACTGGCTGACTGTTGGTGCACGGAGGTGTGCTGGGTTTGTTGAGGTCCTGACCTTTGTTCCTTCTCCTTCGTCACACTGTCTACTTTTCCATCAGCTCATTGCTCAAACCAACACTTGCCAAACCAGCCACGGGCAAACTTGGCAGATGGACTGTCTTGGTCATACCAGAAACACAGGTTTTAGAACGTCTTGAGCAACAGTGGTGAGGCCACTTGTAATGTCATCAACTCCCGAGGCTCACAAAGAGCTCTCTACCCATTTCTTCCTTCCTCTCAGATCACATCTTTGGAGTAGATCCTAGCTGTAAAAACTTCAAAAGCTTGCCAATATACACAAGACCCTCCAACCCTTAAAAAATAACTCCCATGATAAAAACCTCTGTCCCATCTTTGTGTATTTCTATCTTTTTACCGTCTCCAGCCAAGGTTTCTCCCCTCATCATTCAGGATTCCAGCAAGACATGGATGGTGTGTTCAGATTAGGATAATTCAAGGGAGGTTTAATAAAGAACTATTTATAAAGGTGTAGGCAGGATGTAGAGAAACACAGGGATGGTAGAAACCCCCAGAACTAGCAGGGCAGAGTTACTACCACTCTGAGGCCTGAAAGGAGGCAGAAGGGGATGATTACCTGAACCCAACTGCAGAGAGCTGTGACCTTCGGTTGAGTGAATGCAGCAGACTCTGTAAGGAAGGAATTGAGGGACTCTGTCACCACTACACTCTTCATCTCCGCTCCAGTCTCCAGGGCTCAGCACTGGCCAAACTCAATGGAGTCATGGGAATATTTTGATGTTGCCTTATATTTGGGACAGGGAGCAAAGTGGTGAAAGGGAGAGCGTGGATCTGGAGGGACAAAGGGGAGACACCTGGCATATTCCTTCACTCTACATTTAAAACGTAGCTCCTTTTCACCCCATCTACCTGAAACCGCTCTAGCCAAATTCAATATTTGGTAATGGCCAAATCCACTGGAGGCGTCTGAGGCCTAGCCTCTCTGCTGCCTTCAACACAGCTGACTCCTTCCTCCTTCTTGAACTTTTTTCCTCTTATCTTGTGTGTTACCACTGTCTGCTTCTTAAATGGCTCATTCTCAGAACCCCTGGCTGGCTCCAGTCCCTCCTTTTCTGGTAAATGTTCCTTAGTGTTCCATCCTCAGTTCTCC